TATATATCTCATATTACTTAAAGTAAATCTTGTATTTATAGCCCAATGGGTATTGTTCTTACTATAATTATACTTATTAAGAACATCAAGGATTTATGAAGTCCATGAACTTTGGCTTTATAACCTAAAAAGTTCAAGTTATTAAGTCAGTAATAGGTTTCACTTGAGTCATTTTAATATTAAATAACGAAAATAACTCTCTTTCAAACCCCACTATTTATCTCAAGACTTAAACTAAAATAAATACAAATAGCCATTGCACCACTTTAATTGTGTAAGTAATTAATGATAATTTGACAATACTTAAAGGTAAGTTGCACCTAATTAATGACATTTTTACTTATGTGTGAATATTTAAATGATCTATTACATTACGAAAAATATATAAAATTTATTGTATTAAATTATACAACACTAATCATTAGATATGAATTGAACTTTTTAATATTGAGAGTTTTCTCTCGTTTAATAATTTTTATTTTATAATTTAATACAATTTAAAATATGAAACAAGTTTCAAATTTTATTGTATGTGTATTTTTTCTTGCAACGTGATAACCTAAATCTTAATTGAAATAACATTCGTTTATGGGGTCGGATTCCATTTTTCCCCCTCTATACAATGTACTCCAAGTAGAATTGACATCTCAACTAAAAGAATATTTGCAGTACATGGGAACTACAATTACAATTAAGCCGATCTTATGTGATCTTTGAGTTGTTTAGTCATAAGATTGGAGCGATGGGAGAGGCATCTAGAACTAGAATTGACATCTCAACTAAAACAATATTTGACTTTTAACGCCGTGACTAATTAAGCCTCCTTTACTTTATGCATTAAATACCAAACTAACTAGCATGAATTTTCTATCTTTAAAAACATCTACCTGAATTTTCTTCAAGTAATTTGTAACCAAGGGATGGTAGCTTTCATGTTCTACCTTGCCAATTTGCTTAATGAACTATTCTATGCCTCCCTCCAACAAGTACAATTTTAGGGGAAAAAACAACAGAACACTTCTAGCATTTTATTGAGATCAAGCAGAACAACAAACCCAATTGTTTTTGTTTCAAGTATACAAGAATCTTGTGTTCAATCAACCTATTATTTCTACTCTTTTTCATCTCCAAACCCTTTACTTCTGCTCAAACTGTACATCAAAGACCAAACCTTATAAAAGGGAAAAACAGAAGTTTCCAATACCAATTTTCAAATTATAACAAAAAAAAAAGGGGGCACTACCATGTAAATCTCAAGAAGATAGAATAAAGGAAAATAGCAATGAGGGCAAACAGGAATTGGTCTGCTAAAGAGATTTTCTTGTAAGTATTTCTCTTGAAACTGCGGTACAAAGTTAAAGACGGCCACTTAAGCTCGATTGAGAAAGAGGCCTTGCATCCCTTGAGGTCTTCCGGATGATACATAATTCTCCCAGAAACACTTTTGAATTCCCCCGAACTCCATTCCTGTTTGCCACAAAGATGCAAGTTATAGATTCTTTTAATTGATTGACAATTAAGGCATGTTAACTTTGCAATTTGTTCATCTTTTTAGCAAAACACTCAAACAGTCAAACAAGGAATGTAAGGATTCAAGAAGAGTGTTAATGCCAATGACATTAGAAAAACAAACAATAAGTTGAAGCAAAAATTTCTTACCTCAAGCCGTTTTCCAACTGTGACAATAATTGTGTCCGGGCCTGCATCAAAGGACCAAAACCCTTGTTTTGACTGTACAAAAAACTCGCATTGCTTGGAGGGAAGGTGAAGATTTAAGCAATAATCACAAGCAGAGCTTTCTTCTTCAGCAGTGGATGGAGGTGGATTTTGTGGCATTACATTATCGTGGTTGTACCTGTAGAGGCTCAAAACAGACTCTTCTCTTTGCAATCTCCTCTGACCCTGCTTATCTGCATTTTCTACTAATATTTCTCCCACTTCTTCTGCAATTGCATCAAGTCTACTTCCAACTTTATCCATCTTTTCACTGCACACCATTAATGAGGAACAAACATTTTTTATGGGGAACAACATATATAGATTAATAAGTAACAAAATAACACTGAAATCTTTAAAATGTCAATGGCCTAATTGGCTTAGTGATAATTTCTCCTCTAAGTGGAGCAAGAGATCCTAGGTTCAATTGGTAGACATGCAGTTGTGTGGGTAATGAGATGGGAGAGAGTTGCTCCCTACTGCGCATCTCAAATAAAAGGGGGAGGGGAGGTGCCGAGGTGGGGAGAAAAGAAATCTTCAAAATCATATATGAAAATAGGATGGACTAAATTCACATTGAAATCCATAGCTATTAGAACCGAAATTCATTCCTGTAACGTGGGTTGGACCTCAATTTAGATGACTAACTTGTTAGGCAATAGGCAGGTTATGAACTTGTTATATTAACTTTTACAATAAGTCAATTTGGATAGCTCTTTAATGGTTCTTTTCATTGTATAATCCACCAAAAAGGAATAATTAATCGTAAATGTGTAGGTAAAGTAATCTTTCAATTATCTTAAGTAGCAGAGTTGGAAAAAAAAACCTTTTAGCCTTTGGTTGTTGCATCAAAGACAAAGGATAGAAGGGTAAAGGAAAGAGGAGCCGGTACTCTCCATTGTTTAAGGCATACGTCTTCCATCTCCAAGTTTAGCTTAGACACATATAGCTTATTTGACACTTCTTAAGGTCATGTTTAGTTTTTCTCTAATTTAAAAGGAAATTATCAATTTTAAGAAATAGGTACTCCTAGTGTTTATTTTGGTGAGTTTCTTAATTTTTCCTTATATTTATAATTTGGCCAATGACTAATCATTACTCTCAACCATACATAACATATCGGTTTGAAAGCTTTTCTTACAACTTCACTTTAGTTACTAAGGCTTTAGATTGTAAATGAGTTAAACTCCTTGACTCTACTTGAACTTGAGTAAGAATCAAATTGAAGTTTAAACTCGAAATTGGGCTCAAAAAGTGAATCGAGTTTGAATTTGAGTTGCAATTTAAACTCAACTAGACCCAACTCTACTTCACTTAACTCAATTGCGTTAAAAAATACTCCCTTCATTCATTTTTAATAAACCTATTTTCATTTTTTGATTTTAAAGACAAATTTTAGATAAAAAATTAACAATTTATAGAAACAACAATTGAAAAAGTTAAAATATATATTAATTTGACTAAAAATGAATGGAGGGAATAATTTATATATTAAATATTTAAAATTTTAATTTAAATCTTAAATTAAACTTAAATACTCAATCACACTCATGAGTTAAGTTTAAATTTAATATATTTAAAGTTGATAAAAACTCAAATTTAACTCAATTTGTCATCTTAGCATGAGTTTGAGTTCGCATTTAAATTTTAAAAAACTCGAATCATTTACAGGATTGTATCTCTATGTTGATACAAAAAATAGTGTCTCAAAACAAATAATTCGTCACGTCACCAACAAACGCTTAGCCTAGTAGCTTAATTTCAGGGATAAATGCAATTTGATAAGTGTATTAACCCTTTTTCGCTAGTATAAAAAGGTCATTTTGCTCTGCAAATTGTATGTTTGTCGGGTTCTTTCTGCTAGGATGAGAGGGAGTACTGGGTTGGCCCGAAACACAGCCTATTCATTCAAATATGAAACAATGGTTTGGGTTTAACCCAAAACTTCACTATTTGGGCCTAAAGCTCGTAAAAGAGAAGCTAGTACCAATACCATATACGACGATATTTGTTTTTAATTTTTATTTTTATTTCGAAGGTGGCGAAGGTTACCTGAAACTCTGATACAATTGAGCACCGATGTAGTCTCGCGCCCACTCCATCCTCTCATCTCGCCACCGAACCCACACGATCTCCTCCCTGTTTACCCCGTAATGTTGCCGGAATCCTGTGTCTCTCTTTTCCAGTACCCCGAACACCCTCGCTGCCTCTTTCACCAACGATCTCAACTCCTCCCCTGAAATCCCGTGGTAACTGATCCGGAACGCGCCAAACATCCGAACTGATCGCAGGAGACTGTCCACTGTGCCAGATTCTCTGGAAGCAAGTGAATGCCGATCGATTTCAGGGGGACTTGGTTGGTGGCGCGAGTGGGCGCCGGGCAGGGTTAGGTCTGGGACTTGTAACGAATTCTCGAGAAATTCGGAAAGGGTCTCGTTGGCTGCCGAGCGGGAGCCACTGGCGGTGGGGATCGGAGATGGAGGTGGCGCCCTGATCTTGAGCTCGCTCATGGTCCGCACGATCGCCATGGAATATGAAGAGGAAGATGAAGAATTGTTTGGAAAGTAGAAGTGGGAACGTCCTTGGTGTTTGCGGGGGGTATGATGATGGATTGCAGTGCTTTCCTGTTTTCCTGATTTTCAATGCCAGCGTGGACTGTTAGGTAACAAATAACATCTCGCCACGTCATATGATTCCTACCTTTTTGGTAGGTCCAGGGTCAGCCTGGCATTTCTGAATTTTGAAGCCTTTTGAATTGAAATAAAGAAATGCTCATTGAAATATCATATATGAAATTTTAGACCAAACAAATAATTTTTTTCTGAAAGCACATGACAGGTTCATAAAAATAAAAAAAAATAAAAAAAGAACTTGACAGAAGCTGTATTTAAAATTGTTCCATAATGCCGGATAAATCTAATTATAATAAAACCGGGTTTTTACTTTTTAGACTTCAAAACTCGTCATTAAATTTTAATATTTAAGTTTTTTAAACAAGTTGTTAAGGGCGGACTCAAACCGTCCATAAAAAAGGAAAATGCACCTCAAATTAGTAGGCTGTCAATTGAACTGAAGGATCAGGTATTTTTAATATTTAAGTTTAGTTGATGGATTAATCGAAAAGTTTAATTTTCATAAATTACTTGAAAAACTTTTCAAAAAAAGGAAAAAAAAATCTAATTATAACAAATTACTAACAATTTTACTAAAAATTTAATACTGTTTAGGCAGAATTTGTCTCGACAGCTGAATGACGCATTAAGAGAGGACTGACCCGAGAGTTCTCTCAACTAAAATG